GCAACTATTCCTTTGTAAAGAACTAAAATGCGCAAATAAATAATAAAGCTCCTATTAATTATATAGAAGATATATCTGATATTAGTATTTTTAAAAATCCAACTTTGAACACAGCAGGGATGTTTTAGCAATTTTGTTTTCCTGTTTACTTATACATCTAATGGAAGAGCCGAACATTTTGCGACGGTCTCAAAATTACTAATTAAAATAACGAAAAATTCTTATTTAAAAAATGTACAAGGGAATAGTGAATATCACCTACTTATTGTTGTTTAAAACAATCCACAACCGATAGACCTCTAATATATTTATTTTCGAAAACATTTACTACTTTAAAAAAATGGTGCGCGTGCAACTTGGTGCACGTGAATGAAGTGAAACTTCTTTTTCGATGTGCAGTATTGTAGTTTTCTTCATTTTTCGTCTTTAAATCAGATTGGTCTTGTAATAGGGATGCTGTAAAAGATGCGCCATCTTCAACATTTTTAATATATAATATATATTTTAAATTATAGATAGAAAAATACTTTTTTTTTTAAATACTTCCTTAAAATATTGGCCACTACTCGTTGCTAACGCTCGCGCTGGCCTGTAACAGGTATACCACGCGCATGCGTTCGAGTGCCACGCATTTACTCTCGCTCTGTCTCTTTCTATTCCATGGTAGCGTTAAACGTTTAACGCAACCCTGTTGGAAGTCGCATTAGAAGTTTCACTTCAATAAAAGTGACACCCCTATTCGGTCTTATTCTTTCGATTTTCAATAATTCTGTCAAATATAATACTACATGTATAAAGTAACAGAGCCCTGAAACTGCGATACTGTACGGCAAAGGAATATTGTTTTTGTATGGAAACTAGCGACATCTTGTAGCGGATGCCCCTAAACTTATATGCTGTTAAAGTAAAGGCATTTAATTATTGTATAACTAAACACAGAAACTAAGAAAATAATAAACCATACAAGTCTTTATTTGTTATAGGCAAATTGATTAAATTTTATCAATCTATGGTTTCTGAAAATTTACAAAATTCTTCATTAAAAATAAAATATACGATAGGTAATATGTTACTGCCATCTACAGGAGCAATGAAAAACTAATCGAAGCGAAGCCATCTAGTGGCCGACGCCCGTAAACATTTTTGTTGAGTGCTTGAGTTGCTTATCTATATATAACTAATTTATGTTATCTATGTAAAGTAACGCGAATGTACCAAGCTAAATATTGAATATTAACTTTTTTAATTCGTAACTACCCTATATACTCGAAGGATTCTGTGTTATAAACTTATTATTAATGTAATAAATTGCATGCGGGTGTAATATTAGACGGTTTAATCTTACGTGTTATAGAGAGTGTTACAAAACAATACGGAATAGAAGCATTATGGGGCGTTTTCGAAAAAGAAACATTGTAACACGGCGATTGCAAAGAAAAGGCCGGAAATCTTAAAAAAAAAACTATGTGATAACTAAATATGAAAAAAAGGTTGTAAGATATTGTTAAAAATATATTTATTACGTACCTAGTTAATATTTACATGCCTTGAATCGTTTCTGTTTATTATCGACGTTTAAAAGGCAAACGTGACTAAGCGACAATGCATGAACTTTACAGTAGACTAATTTAAAGTTGAAATACCTGAAAAAAAAATTTTTTAACGAATATAGCTTGATTATTGAAATGATTTTATTAAAGACTCAGAAATATAAATTTTTTGCGCATCGAATATGGTTATTGCCTATCATTTATTTATAAAGCAGTTATTGTTGCTTAGTCACGTTTGCCTTTCAAGCGTCGTTATAATTTATTAACAGCTGATACGCAAATTTAAAGCAAGCGAAATCATCGGACACAGTTAAAAAAAAATTTTCTTAGCTTTCTCTGAAAGAAAAAAAAAATGTGGTTTTCCCGTTTATCTTACGTCAGTTTGCAAGCGAATGACAGACAAAAATATATATGGTGATTTAAAGGCGATAATATAACACATTATATTAATCTCAATTTTAATTTCTGCAGTTTTCTATTATATAATAATTGGCGTAATTAAAAACTGTTGTAAGATTAATTTTTTTTTTACAAATTATTGTAGGTGTAATTTTTTTTTTATAATGTATTGCAATGGCACAGACGGCTCCCAAAATCTTCTAAAATATTTTTGTCAAATTAGGTCACTTTTATTTTATTTTTAATTGGGAGTAAATTAATAGAGCTTTTGTCACTACTGCATTACAAACGAAAAGAAGAGAATCTGTCTTCAATTCTTCTGATACTCAACTCAGATTCTCGGACAGCGGTCTGTGAATACATGTGTGTGAAGTGAGGCGTTGGGGGGGATATTGTTGTTGTTTTTTTTTTTAGGGATTTTATGACCTGGTAACTAAGAATGTCATGTCTTATTTTAATTTATATTCTAATTTTTATAAAAAATGATAATATAGAGTGAAATGAAATGAAGATGATTAATTTGAGACATAAATCAACTGGGATGAAATTAAATGAAATGAGATAATATGGGATGAAATCTTTTAAAACTTTATTAAATTATTAAAAAAAAGAACACCTAACCTAAAAGTACATGTTATTATCCGCAACATGCTTCGTCAGATTACAGAAATAAAGTTATCAGCAACATGCTTCGTCAAAAAGTACAATACTTACTTTCAGCTGCAAGCGTCGTCATGGGATGAAATATAATCTCAGTAAAATCGTGGTCATTTACTGTGATTCTTTCAGTGGACTTTTTGGAGGATCCCGAGAAGTTACGTTCAGCTGTTTTGTTTCATTTTCCCACATTTGTGCACTTTCACAGATATTAAACACTTAATAAATCACCGTCATTACACATTTAAACCTGAAGAAACACTAAATAGACAAAATGAAACAAATCACACAACTTCACTCCTCGCGCTCCCGCCAAAAAGTCCTTAATATGGACATCCCTGCACATCCACCATAGATGACACAATATACCACATTATAACGTAAAATCGGAGATGTTGCGTAGGCCAAGTCCGTACGCGGGAAAATTGACGTAAGACGGGAAGACGCGAGCACTTATCCAACTGATAGCTATGGGCAAGCAAGTCTGAACTTCGCCCTCGAGGTAACCTAGAAATAGGAAAACTTATTTTTTGGAATTATGGAAGAATGAAATCCTGTACGCTACGCATTATAGTGGACAATTATATTTTTTCGAAATTGAATTTGGTTTTTTTTTCTTACCTTCCTATTCCTGTTCCTATTTCTGTGCCTGTTTGATTGTTATTATCAAACGAACGATTCGGAAGATTCATAATAAAATATGTAACACCGGTCACTCACATGCGCACGAATACGCAAACCCGCAAGTGTGGGACGACATTTGCAAATGATTATGCAAAGTTTTCGCTGCATTCGTGGTTTTCCAAGCTGTGTCGGTTTTTTAACAGACATCAAAGCGCGCGAAACTCTTTTTCTCTTCAATGTTCTATTGACGAATTAAAAAGGAGGAGAAATTCGTGAGACATTCGTAAACAAGTGTGGGAGGAAGCGCAAACGGGTTCGTAAATTGAGTATGCGAACCTATTTGCACAGCGGCTAGGTTTGCGAATGACTGTTTGACGGCCCTTCACAGTCAGTGGCCGGCATAACAACGGACTTAAATGTCTAAAGCATTCTCTGGTAGTCGACCAAAAGCAATGCAGATGAAAAATTATTAAATGTATGTATTTATAAAGTTGCGCCGCTAATTCGATAGTCGATTAGGGATTGGATGAAATGAATTTTGCTGTTAATTTCTTCCCAGGCGTATTTCGAGTGTCACTTCACATGATTAAGAGAAACTACATTTATGTGGTTTATATTAAAGTGGTAAGAATATTAAATCAATGCCCGTTGGATTTGAATGTTGCTCCTGTCACGTCCACAACTCAAGTAGCTACTAGATAATTTCGCATGACTTCTAACAGAGGACTACTTGGATTATTGATAATCTTGGTTATATGGTCTTATGTCCCGTTTTCACTAAGCGATATAATCATATGTACCGCGTATCAACGCTAGTTGGCGTTTGGCGTGTTTGTATTCCGCGGGATGGCGTTAGTGTGATCCAATGAGTTTTTCTACTTACTTTCATCGAATTGTCAAAAAATCTCAATTATTGTTTTAATTATGTATTAGGTGTTGTCTCGATTATTGTTATTATATACTTCTACATGTAAGTCGAAGTTAAAAATGTATAGCTACTATCTGATTACTTTCTACATACACCATTTTGCCATTTCTATCAAATATTCTTAGATCTAGCTTTTTTTAACGCTTTTCTTTTGTATAAATTCGTCCGTACCTACTAAGCATTTCTTAGGGTTACATATTTGACAATCAAAATAAAACTATATGATTTATTATGTAAAAATAAATTATATTTCTCAACAACCATATTACATTTAAAGAAGGAATACAAAATTTAAAAAAAACATAACATTTGGAATGTAAGTATCTAAAAACGCAACACTCCTATCATATAGCATGGAATTTAGATTCAGAGAATGTGCCTTAGTAAAAAACAGGAAGCTATTTTTGTACACATTAGTTTCTCAAATCAGTCACCAACACAGAATTAAGTATTTTTCACCAAACACCCTATTTCATTCTAAAATTCATTTAGTATGAATACATTTGAAATGATCATGACCGAATTATAAATACGGAATCTCGATTTAGACTTAAGTGCTACTAATCAGTTTATTTTTGGTGTTCTCTTGAAAGAGATTCTTTGAGAACTAAAATCAAGTGAAAAATACTTAATTCTTCTTAAGCCTTAAACCACCAAACCTTACATACATAAATAATAAAAATGGCACCTTTGACAGTTGTTAAAGTAAAAATCTAGTAATAAACAAATATGTGGTAGAAAATACGTAAATTTATTGGATCAAACCGTATATTTCGACTTAAATCTCATTTTTTTTAAAAATAAAAGTGAAAATGTGTAGTATTTTAGGTTATATTTTTTTTAAATGACAATTCAGTCCAAAGTGACATATTATACTTTAAATCTACTGTCAAAACCACCATCTTTTTTTTAAATGTCAATTAAAATTCTACTTTTTCTTTTTTAATTGTTTAGCCTTTTTCTTTTCTTCCCTCTTGACTTCTTTGTCCTTTATCGACTTGTACAGTTTGTAACCGAAGAACACTGTGTACAAAAGAAAATATTAAGATTAGATTTACACGGTTGAATATTGTGAATGTCGTCGTGGCCTAAAGGATAAGACGTCCGGTGCATTCGTATCGAGCGATGCGCCAGTGTTCGAATCCCGCAGGCGGGTAACAATTGTCCTAACGAAATACGTACTTAACAAATGTTCACGATTGACTTCCACGGTGAAGGAAGAACGTCGTGCAATAAAAATCAAATCAACAAAATTATAATTGGCGTACTTACTGGTGGTACGACGTCTTGTGAGTTCGTACGGGTAGGTACTAACCACCCTGCCAATTTCTTCCGTGACGCAGTAATGCGTTTCGGTTTGAAGGGTGGGGCAGCCGTTGTACTGTACTGAGAACTTAGAACTCATGTCTCAAGGTGAGTGACGGCATTTACGCTGTAGATGTCTATAGGCTCGTCCAACCATCAAAGCAATAAAAAAGAAATAAATAAAATTTACTAGTTAGAATTTCTGTTTATTTCTAATGAGTACTGTGTGTCAGTTTGCAGGGTTCTTTGATCCGTAGCGAGTTCCACGTTGCGTCTCTAGATGTCTCTGGGTATAGTAAGTACATTTACAGTGATCTCTTCTTTTTCCTACCTATGCTGATAGCCTTGAGAGGCTACGTCAGCTTCGCCCTAACATGTAGGTGAGCTCACGAGGCTCAAACCGGAGTGTTGCTAACACTGGCCTTAGCAAGAGCAGTGCTTCGCAGAATCTACCACCGGATCGGAAACGTGATCCACTGAGAATATCCGGCGAGAAACTCAGTGGGCTGTGTCTATGGGTTAATTCGCTCGTCGAGCCCTTCATCGCAAGCGACGGCTTCGACGAGGACGGTGACCGGTGCTTGTGGTACCTAAAAGCACCGTTAACGGATCGGGAGGATTCGCAATGACGTGTTTTGGGCGACGTCGACATACAGTGATGGAGCCGTTTTCCTAAACTTTCCGTGTAAAGTAACCTAACTTCGTTGTTTAATAGGAATGTTCCTAATTACTGAGATCTAATCATCATCATCTCTAAATAGTGGACAAATGATGCTAGGTCACCAAAGACCGTAGAACATTGCGCGAAAAATTTCGACGCACATTTTAAGTTGTACAAATATCCCGTTTAATCTATATATTAATACGTGAAGCAAAAACTTTGTATCCCTTTTTACGAAAATCGCGCGGACGGAGGAGTATGAAATTTTCCACACTTATAGAGAATATAGAGAAGAAGTGCACAATGCTAATATTTTGTTTAAATAATGCATAAAAGATATATTAAATCAATAAAGAAAACATTACACATACTACCATGTATTTGACACACACACGCATGCATACTATTTATTTATTGTCAAACTTCTGTTCTTGACGTCTGTGATCAAATTGAGAATAGATTAAATATTGTTTGTCTTTATTAATATTTTTCTATACTGTAGTCTTGGCGTTGAAAATACAATCATAATAGTGTATAAACTTACAATTCCAATTCATTATAGTCGAATTTCGACTACTGCGGGACCTCTAGTTTATTTAAAATGGTCACAGTACAATCTGTACAAAATCTGACAGTCGTCCGTGCTGTTCTAAACGCAAAATTTTATCAACATTTTTTCTGCTCTGTTTGCTTAGTGCGAGCGGTTTTTAACGTTCTCGACAGCGTAAAAGTTAACTCGAATTTCCATGGAGTTGGAACGTTTGTCTACGTATTTTTATTTTATTGCATAGTTGGGTGGACGAGCTCACAGCCCACTTGATGTTAACTGGTTACCGGAACCCAGAGACATATCTACAACGTAAATGCCGCCACCCACCTTGAGATATGAGTTCTATAAGATCTCAGTATAGTTACAACGGCGGCCCCGCCATTCAAAAAGAAGCTCATTACTGCTTCACGGCAAAAATAGGCAGGGTGGTGGTGGTACTTTTTTTTTGTTTTGGCCACTACGTGGCGCTATTCCAATGACATACAAATTTGAGTTAACTTTTACGCTATCGAGAACGTTAAAAAACTCGCACTAAGCACGTAAGCACACGGTTTAGTAGATAAATATAGTGAGCATCAGTATGGTTTTTTCCTTCCAATTTTGATTAATCTATATGATATTAATGAGAATAGTATTGAAATAAACAAAATTTCGATTGCATGATAAGATAATATAAGACGGCACGATAATAATATTTCAATAACAAAAAAATTAACAAATGTTGTTGATTACAAGCGGCCCGCTCTGGCTCCGCTCGGGTCGTTAACAAATATTTAAATGATATTTGACGTTGTTTTATTTTTTTAAATAATAGAACACTTATTGCGGCATAGCTATAATAGTTAGACATATGCTGTCACGACAATTTTTGTAAATAATAATGCGTTCTACAAAGTCGTAGTACATTATTTTATTCTATCATCAATAGTTTTCGCGGGGCACGCGACGTAAAGAATATTTTGGGTGATTTTTTTACACCTTGGGTTACATTAATGGAGTTTTAGTAAGGATCCCTAGTTTTTTTCAAAAAAGATTATAGCCTATGTCACTCGGGAATAGTGTAGCTTACAAACAGTGAAGGATTTTTTTCAAATCGGTTCAGTAGTTTCGGAGCCTATTCAATACAAACAAACAAAAAATCTTTCCTCTTTATAATATTAGTATAGATAGTATAGAAGTATAGATTTACGCGTGTGATTTTCGATCTAAATATTTAAAATACAGATAAAACTATTATACGTATCTGATTTCCCGTAGATTCAATTGGATAGTTAATCAAATTGATATGGAAGTTTTAATTTCGTTTACGTTTTTAAAGAGATTGGTTTTCAACAATAATTTTTAGTGCGAAAATAATGAACGCTAAACTTTATTTAATTAATTAATTTTCCGGCTATGGAATGAGCTCCCCTCCACGGTGTTTCCCGAGCGCTATGACATGTCCTTCTTCAAACGAGGCTTGTGGAGAGTATTAAACGGTAGGCAGCGGCTTGGCTCTGCCCCTGGCATTGCTGAAGTCCATGGGCGACGGTAACCACTCACCATCAGGTGGGCCGTATGCTCGTATGCCTAGAAGGGCAATAAAAAAAAAAAAAAATTGATGGGTACACAACCAATCGCCAACGGAAAATTTTCTAATGGCGGGGTGTTTTGTAAGCCTGCAGGAATATTCCTTTCGGCCTCTATATCCCACACATCGTCCATATGCCCTTAAGCGCTGCTCCATCCGCAAAAAAAAACTACTAATATCATCCAATTTTTTTTTGGTTATTACATCGTCTCAAACTTTTTCGTCTGTGTGTTGCATGTCGCGTGACGGTCAGCCGCGGAGTAGGGATAAAGTGAAAGGCGCTCGTCACAGCAGCCAAGACCAACATGGCGGTGCCTATAGTTCGCAGCAACTGGCCGTGTAGTGTATAGAATCATTTATGCCAGTGCTCCACGCTATTTTGTTTGTTTTTGTCAGTGTTATTTGTCAGAGTTAAATGTCTATAAAGTTTCACTTTTACCGTGGTTTCATAAAATGACACAATCCTTTTTTTTCTTACATATGCTGGTAACCTTAGAGGGTTATGCCACTGTAACTGAGCAAGTAGGTGAGCTCACCGGGTTCTAATCAGAGGACGTTGCTAAAACTAGCCCTAGCAAGAGTAGTGCTCCGCAGAATTTACGACCGGATCCGAAACACGATCCACTGAGAGGATCCGGCGAGAAACTCAGGTGGGAATTTTTTGGTCATTCATCGCGGTTTGAAGGGTGACATATCCGTTACACAAAACATTGTGAGATCGACGTATATAATTACAATAAAAGCTCCTTATTCGCGCTTCCTTAATTCACGGATTCAAAAATGCGAACAAATTCCTATATTCGCGACTAAAAATTTCTTTATTCGCGGACCTATTCGATACATATATATGTAGACACATTGATAAAAAGGATTCCAATATGTACGTATCCAACCGAATATCCTTTGTAAGCGCGTCGTTAAATAGACTAATAAAAAAGTAAAATATACCTTATTACAACTATGCTAAGTAAAAAGTCTTAGTATGTTTTTATTTTGTCACTTTTTTGTTTAACGCTGGGCATTTTATCCGATTACTCACTAAACCCCATCGAAATTTTGTCATTATTATTTTATCCACCTAGGAACGTATCTTTATATATGTAAATTACCATTCCACATTCACGGTTTCTGAATTCGGGACATATTTTGCCGTATTTTCCATGGGGATTGCTCTCAGGAATTGTTTGAGATGATACCGGCATCTCGTTTTTACCATCGCACCGCCCGTCACCAGAGTAGAGTTCATCCGTACTACCTGGAGCCCCTGCGTTCATCCACCGTGCAAACGCACGGGACTTTTTTGCCACGTACCATCCGGCTTTGGAATGAGGTCCCCTCCACGGTTTTTCCCGAACGCTAATATCCTTCTTCAAACGAGGCTTGTGAAGAGTGCTTTACTGTAGGCAGCAGCTTGACTCGGCCCCTGGCATTGCTGAAGTCCATGGGCGACAGTAACCACTAAGAGCTTTTACTCTACGATGTCAATCTCCGGTCCACTTAATACAGGGAATCCTAGTTTGAGTTCGGGTGACAGTGACTTTTCCCGCGCTATTATTATTAGTACGAAAATAAACATACCAAGCAATAAGAACACTATGAACGCCACGATAGCACCGACCATATAGAGCTTTTGTACGATAGCTTCCTTGATGGCCGTCTCCAAGCCGGACAGATCAATGTTTTGGCCTAGATTAAAATTAAGCTTTTGCATCAATCCTTGCTTGATTTTAGCCATGAACTCTTCCCTTTCCTCGTCGGACATTGCTTCGATTTTCTCTAAGATCCCCTGCAATTGCTCCTTCGTTTCACCATTGTCCTCTCCCTCAGGTGGCATGTCAATCATTTTCTTCAAAACCGTCTTTATGTCCATATTATCAACGATCTCGGACACCTTTTCGGAGAAAGCGCCGCCTAAGTTCAGCGAGACAGTCGGTTTTTCAACTTCGTCCGCCATTTTTTTTTGTTGTCGTTGTTGTATACACTGTGCGCGGGAAAATATTTTTTTTTTTAAAACTAACAACTTTTTAATTGATTTTGAATGTTTAGGTAAATTCATTTAAGTACAATCATTAATTAAATTAAATGACAAAAACTTAAAATTCCAAACGCTATTGCAGCAAAACTTAATTACTTCATTAAAATTGTAACAAAAAAAAAACCAACAAATTATCTCATTAAAATAAATAAAAAACTCAACGAATTACATTTAGGACACAAATTGTTGAATTACATAATTTAAAAAAAAAAATTAAGAAAAAAACTCACCACACAGACACCTCTTATTGAACTAATACTCGTAATCTATGGAGCACTGATTTAGATATTAAAAAAGAAAAAAAAAAACACGCCGTCCGTTATTACGTGTCGTTCCACGATTGAGTTATAGCAACAGCGATGTCTATCGATTGATAACAGAACACCCGGTCGGATAAGATACATTCAGATAAGGGTAACAATTAGGTAAATCTGATAATGGTAGTTTTCCAATTACAGCACAAGAGCGCATTATGCGGCATAATGCTCAACGTTGAATGTTCCAACTACAGCAACACTTCGCACAATCGAGCGCTCTCAAGAGTACTGCTCTCGCGTGATACTCGCAATCGATACCGACTCAGTGACAGAAAATTGACAAGTGTTTTTTCTTTAAGTTGGCATTGATCGAAATTTTGTTTATATTATCGTTAGTCATATTATTTAATGTTGAAAAAAATTGTAAGGCTTTCGTTTCGTCGTAGTTTCTTAGAAATAATAAATGTTAATTAAAACTGTGCTAACTTAGCGCACTCTGCTGATGCATTTGAAAACTAATTCACGTTCCAATTCAAGCTTCAGCATAATTCGGCATTGTGCGTCACTGAGTCGCATTATGCTCTGTAATTGGAAAACTACCATTATTATGTTCAATGCTTCATTTATTGTGCATATGTGGCACGTGTGGCGACTAAAAAGGCAATTACCACAGCTAGGTAGAAAGGCCTCAACCTATTTGAAGAAGGAAGGCGAAAATAGAAAACTAAAATAATTATTTTCAATTTTTCAAAAGTCATTTCCCTTAAGTTATATGCTGAGGTTTTTTTTTTAAACTCACCGACACGATAATTATATGTCGTCGGTGAAAAGTCAAGGGCTACAAAAAAAAACATGGCAATATCGTTTTAGACCCAGGGTGTCTGAGCAAAAACAAAAAGCATTCCTAACCTTAACCCGACGACCCTTAACGAGTGGAGAAATAATAAAAAAACATTATATAGACGGAAACCCATACACATCTCTCTGCTACTCTCGTCTGCCTACAAGGGCAGTAAAAAAAAAAATTCATCGGCCAAAGAGCGTACTCCGAAATCGAGTACCGGTAAAATGGGGCGATTAGGGACAAATTCCAACTTTATGACCAATTTTAAGGTAGTTGTTGATGTATATAATGCTATATCAGGATCAAAATGATTGAGTCTTGGGGGCATCTTTGTTGTCCAATTTAAAACTATGCAACTAGCATTCCAGTTTAAGCAAAAAAAGCAAAAATAGGTGTAATCCCTATTTACCCGGAAATTGCGGTTAATTGGGACGAAATGAGAAATTTGCTAGGGTGGGCACTACTAGGTTTTATTTATTTATTTATTTAGTTGCACCAACAAAGTGATCATCAATAAAAAACATTGAAAAACTGACACTCTGAACAAATATTAAATATTTTATTATGTATTACTTAGACATTTTTGTCCACCTTGAGATTTCATTGTTCTTATTACATGTCTGTGCAAAATTGACTTACTTATATTAAATTGCTTAGCTATTTCAACTAAAGACTTATTCCCAATTAGGCAATTTCCCAATTGCTGTTTTTAATATTAAGGGATAATATCTCTTATAAGGCTTTGCACTCTTTGATACGTCCACGCGAGGCATATCTAAAAATAGAAAACAATACGTAACTGATAATATAAATATTTACCAAACAATAAAATAACACATTGATAATTTTGAATAAAAGTTCTAGACAAAAACATCATGAATAAACCAGATTTTTACCAACAATTTTAAAAAATATTGTTATAACTACATAGACAACCCTAGAAACCTGTACCTATTTATACTTAGGTCGTTTCCATTTCACGTATTCTCATCCCAATTGACCCCTTTTTCGTTGTTATTTGTACCTAAGACGTCCCCAATATCCCCAAAAACAACAGATTTTTACATGTATTTTTATTTTATCAAATACATTAAAACCAATAACAACTGAGACTTACCTTTAATATACATGATGGTTCAAACACTAAATCACGTTTATAAATCACAGTCGTCTTCTATTATTATCAAATAAATAAAAGAGAGCAAAGTTTCTAGCACTAAAATAATTACCACCACAGAAAGTTAATTTGAAACGCGATTTTTTATAAGTTAGCAGCTATTATCATGCATATTCAGAGTTGTTTTGTAAACTTACAACATTCTACTATTAAACTACAAAAAATGGAAGATTTTGCAACGAATTTATAACTAATATTGAGTGTCGAAAGATTTTTCCGGTTTTTTTCCGATTCGCCTCTCAATCCCTAATCGCCCCATTGTACGGTACGTAATTTAAAAACTTAAAAAAAATATATACGATAGCAAAGGGAACTAAAGCAATTAATTCCATCTTTTTTTTTTCATGTTGATATATTAGAGCAAAGGCATAAAATTTATTGTTTCGTCATTGATCATTGATGCGCGAGCAAATTTTCAAGTTAATCGAACGTCTCAAGGTCGGCCAGAATATCGCTACAAACGGACAAATCAAGCTAATAAAAGCGTGTTCAAAAGTAATTCATTGCCATATCTATAGATCGTCATATATGTAGGTAAATACAATGTAATAAATAATAATATTTATAAATTATGCAATCAACTCTAACAATGAACCTAAAACTAAAAACCTTACAAAATAACAATAATAATAATATTAATTTAATAACTAACATATATTATTAAAAGGAGTCTCTTTAGGCAAGGTTCCCAAGATATTGGCAGAGTTCCTACTTTGAATAGCTAATACTAATTCTTTGTCCGAGTTAGCTGCCAGCTCTTCGGTCTCCTGTGATGTCGAGTAACCTTTTTGCTAATAATAAATATATATCAAACTTTTTTACAATAGATTAACATTTACGCAATTATATTCCTTTGCTTTCTTATCGGGTGTAGGTACGTATCGGGGTTACATAAGTCCAATGACGATAACAATGCATTCGACAAAGTTTGAGATTTTTATATAATGAAAAAAAAAAAGTGTATTTAATAGTATTTTTTATTAAGCCTTTGAGCGTGAACCGTCGATATATCGACTTTCTATTAATGCCTTCCATTATCGGTGCTTTTAGGCACCACAAGCAACAGTCACCGTCCTCGTCGAACCCGTCGCTTGCGACGAAGGGCTCGACGAGCGAACTAACCCATAGACACAACCCACTGAGTTTCTCGCCGGATCTTCTCAGTGGGTCGCGTTTCCGATCCGGTGGTAGATTCTGCGAAGCACTGCTCTTGCTAGGGTCAGTGTTAGCAACTCTCCGGTTGAGCCCCGCGAGCTCACCTACAAACGTTAGGGCGAAGCTGAAATAGCCTCTCAAGGCTATCAGCATAGGTAGGAAAAAAAAATTAATGCCTATAAAGTGCGAAGCGTCGGAATACAGACTATTCATGCAGTTTGATTGTATGAGTTATGTATCGGTCGATCTGTGAGGACGTGTCTTAACGAGAACACTTTTTTTTTTTATTGCCCTTGCAGGCAGACGAGCACACGGCCCACCTGACGGTGAGTGGTTACCGTCGCCCATGGAGTTCAGCAATGCCAGGGGCAGAGCCAAGCCGCTGCCTACCGCTTAATACTCTCCACAAGCCTGTTTTAAAGAAGGATAAATATAATGTTTTGGTTAACTTAATAACATTTCTAAATAACCATTTGTGAATTTTGCATTGTTTTTTTTTCTTAAGTTAAAGTATTTTTTTCATAAATCCTTTAGCAGTTTCTGCAAAATATGTGAATATACGCTCAGCACTACTGTGAGGTCATTTTAATAGGTAACATTTGATTGACAGTTCATCAAAATTCAACAACCCAATCTTGTAATGGCGGGCATAAAATAATATATTTTTTCGTTTTGTTAGAACTGCACACTTTTTTCAATTACGATTTTATTTTAGTTGATAATTTGAATTACGATGTTTTATTTTATTTTAAGTAATTTATTATTTCCTAAAATACTGAATTTCCTAAATACTTTCTTGTACTTAAATAAAAACTAATCAGCAAAATTTAAGAGAAAAATCAAGAAAACCTACATAAAATTGAGCACGATTTTTTTTGCAATTTGTGTCGATTCTACATTAGCCAAAGGAACTTCGTTCCTACCTGGTGTCCCACGACACCACATAATTTTTTTTTTTAATTCATGGTCGTAAAAATCATTTAAAAAATACCCAATCAATCTAAATTATTATATGTACAATTAACTCACCTGTCTCATGGGACTTCGTAATAGAGTATATTCCCTAATGATATTTAATTATAGAGACAACTGAGGAACTTAAATTCCATCTAAAAGAGCACGTAATGTTCTTAGCAGGTGGTGGACCTCTTGTGAGTCCGCACGGGTAGGTACCACAACCCCGCATATTCCGGCCGTGAAGCAGTAATGCGTTTCGGTTTGAAGGATGGGGCGGCCGTTGTAACTATGCTGAGACCTTAGAACTTATATCTCTAGGTGAGTGGCGCATTTACGTTGTAGATGTCTATGGGCTCCAGTAATCACTTAACAACCAGGTGGGCTGTGAGCTCGTCCCATCAAAGCGATAAAAAAAAATTAATATTGTTTTTGATTGGCAAATGCAGGTGAAATTGTTATAGTACCCTCGGATTACAAAAAGATAAAGAAACTAGCTGACCCGGCAAACGCTGTTTTGCCATATATAAGATTTCTAGGGAATTTCTAGTGTAGAAAAAAAAACTAACTTATTGTAAGTGTGTAAGGATGTGGTAAATGAGTGAAAGAGGCATGTAGCGCTGTGAACGATGAGGGAATATAAAAATAACAAAACCTTATTCAACTACATAACGCCTCATTATAACAAAAAAAAATGTCCAAGAATTTAAAAAAAATGTAAGGTGTGGACAACCTTTATCATTAGAGTATGAAAAATAGATAGAAGCCGATTTTCAGACCTACTGAACATGCTTAAAAAATTTCATAAAAATCGTACAAACCGTTTCAGAGGAGTATGGTAACTAACATTGTGACACGATAATTTTATATATAAGATAATACTTACATATAATAGTGAATATTAAAAACACGAAAGCGACCGCTAATATGGAACCGTATCCAGAGAACACTTGAGGCGTATTTCCCGTTAGCATTATCCGCATATTCTCCCTCAGCTCTTCAGGTATGTTAGACGTGTCCAGCATTTTGAGGATCTCTTTCGTCGAAGGCATCTTCGAAGGATCGCCGCCATGTTTCAAGAGATCCTCCAAGGACTCTGAACTATCGATCGTATCTTCCATTTCGGACATTTTTTACGAAAATAAATATAAAAAATAATGTCTTCAAGTAATTAGTACAGTGGCCGCGTGATGTTTGTTGTTATCTGATTTTTTTTTTAATACGTGTCGAAACGTGGTCGTCCGCATAACGATAATGCGATTGGAGCATGTCATAAGCGTAAGCGTTTATTGCGGATGGTCATCCGGTATCAATTTAAGTTTCCCTGTGCTATGGATACCAGAGATTGATAATACTTATTAATTTATTTAGTTGCAACAACAAAGTGATCACCAATAAAAACATTGACACACAATAAGTACTTCAATTATAGGACAATCAACAATGTAATAATAGTTGACAACATCATGGAATTAGAAAAGTAAGATTGATTGAATGAAAATACAATGAATAATTTTAACAAATTTGAAATCCGGGGTAATGCTTTTTCAGTAAGTAACAAAAAAATCTATATCTACACTTATTAGAAAATAAATAAATAATATAAGTAAAACTAGATTCAGTGCAATGGAGCAGCTGCACCCCGGGGAACCGCCTGCATGATCACAGTATCCCGACGCCAGGTAGGTATGAATTAGCAAGAGAAATACGAGAACGTCTATCGACTGGGTAACATCTCGTAACCGCGATTCAGATTTTGTTGAATTTACGTGCAGCGAAATTATTGATACCAAACTAAATAGAAATAAAATAAACATGGCGCGTAACGGAAGAAATTAAGATGGCGCGTAACCGAAAAACGTTACATACGTTTTTTCCTCCCTACATCGATAAAGAAGTTTCACTTCAAAAAACCTGTTCACCACACGAATGTTTGCCCGAGGTGAGAATCGAATTGGCATTCTATTCGATCGATTATGTGTACCGCCGGATTTTGAACACTAAGGTTTAATTTTATCTATTAATAACATTAAGACGTCCTCTTGTCACTTGGAACCAGTTATACATCAATAATAATTGGTGATAGCACAAGTGTTTTAAAGGCTAACTGAAATATCTTTATACTGTTTAGTAATCACACAACACTAAATACAGTGAGTAAGTTTATAAGACCAGTTTTATTAAATCTAAAGAATCATGGTATGCAAAATCTTGTATATTTGTTTTTCATAGTGTTTTTAAATTTAGAATGACCGTGAAAGCTATTTATTGTACTGAATGACTTCTACACGGATCAGTCAGAGTTGGAAAATGTAACTGCTTCGTTTATTCTTGTTTGAAGGCTAGTATAGTATTCCTGTCTCTAGTTCGATGAGGACACTGTCGATGTCCATGGGCCACTTAAAATCAGCTGAGGTGTGAGCCCATCAGTGTCTCTACTAGAGCAATAAAAATAAATATTGTGTACACTGTTATGGTAGGCAGCGGCTTGGCTCTGCCCCTGGCATTGCTGACGTCCATGACCGACGGTGACCACTTACCATCAGGTGGGCCGTGTGCTCGTCTGCCTACAAAGGCAATAAAAAAAAAATAAAAAAAACACTATGAATTTTAAAATCTTTATAATGCATCTTACAATGTGACAGACCTATGTTCTGTCTAATGCTGATTAAATTAAGAGACTTCTATTTCATAAAAACGAAAATTATTGTCCTTATATTTATTAGGTAAAGATTCCAACTAATCAAATTCAAAACACAAATTTTATTTTATGTTGTACTAATGATACATAGTCATGCTCATCTGTCTTATTGTATGAAAAAAAAAAAACTATTTTAAACTACTCAAGCCTCATCATACAGAATGTCGATGGTACTATTACTGAAACATTCCCTGGCATTTCAATAACATCTATAGCACTTTCCATTGCAATAAATGCATCTGCACAGTGGAGTAATTTTCTGAGGAATGCCCACTGTAGAGAACTCTTCTAAAAATTGGTTTGAAGAAAGACATGTTGTATGGCCCAAGGTGCACTAATGGGTGGAGTTTGTTTAAGAGATGGTAGAAATTGATGGGACTTTGAAGACTAGAAAAAAGTGTAAATGGAGATGACCAAGCCATCTTGAACAGTTTCACGATGCCCTTGAAAAGAGTTTCAAATATATACTTTATATATATATTCAAAAGACTTAGCTTTAGTCTTGGAATATAGCGTAGTATATATAAGTATTCTGTTTTTTATGTCATTTTTCATTACATATTCGGACAGTCGGTTTACTGGGTGATTTCAGCCGCTCAGTGGTACCTGCATACTTTAGTTAAATGTAAATAAACGATATTAAAAAATGTTGTGAATTTTCTTAAAAAATGTGAAAAAACTTTTTCACCAACCTATTCAATGTTGTATGTGTGTATTCAAATCAATTCAATATAAACAAAAATATTTTTAATCACAAAGTTGCATTTAGTTTTCTAGCACTGCCCAAGTTACCCAGATGGCTTATGGCCCCAGTAAGTTAATTTAAAAATAAAAAATAATTGATTTTAAACAAAGAATTATAAGTTCACTAAGGTAATGAATATTTCTCATATAATTACTTGTTGTGTACTCAATTTTGCAATTTTATTTGTCCAACTGGACAAATAAAAAGAACATTTCGTTGAAGCATGTTTTTTTAATTAACTAACTCTACTGTAAATTTTAATATATCCTGATCCATTCCATTTTAATATATTTTAAATGACATGTTCAGAATGTAAATGAAAAAAAATATATTAACACTACAGGCAGCATGGTTAGTTTATGTGAGCACTACAATCCCGAAATATTTAATAAATTTAAATTCTTTCAATATGTATACATCATTAATAAACAGATTGATATGGGGGAAGATGTTTAGCCTTTGGATTTAAGAGTTTTATTTTTCTTATTTAGTATACTTTTTTAAAACGCGAAAATATTCCACAGGCTTCGGTAAGTAAACTTCAATTAGAGCTGTTAATTTTAAAAACATAAGGACATGAAACATAATTAAATACTATTTAACACGGTCGAAATTACTTACTTAACGTACTATATACATGAAATTACTTTAGTAAGAATTAATAAACATTTCTTACCTGATAAACTCACGAAAATAATACCGGGAATGATGAAAACAGTGTTTGAAAATGCATGTTCTAAAGGTCCATCGGAACCTCCACTAAGATCGACCATTTTAATAATTGCTAGTAAATTAATCGTATCGAAAGTTATTTCAAGGTATGTAGTATGTTCTATTCTTGCAATTATTTACCATTACTTTTAGTAGTATTCTTTATCAGCGTTAAAAATCAGAAGAATCTGTGATTATATACGCAAGCAAGAGCGAAAATTGTGTAAAGTTTCTGACACTAAACGTCATTGTCAGCAACGTCAACAAATAACAATTTCGGTTATAAACTACTTAGGTACGGTACATATCTAGATACCTTAAATTTTGTAAGTTATAGGCTGCTATATTATTAAAGTAACAAATGCGACCCATATTTTGTGTCTGTTTCACACTAATTAAGTGAACTTATATAAAAAAATATTAGGGCTAAAATGGTATCAATATACTTTATAGAAAAGTGGTTAATCTATACATATAAATAAAATTGGAGTGTCTGTTTGTAATATTGAAATAACCGCTTTTTACTACATGCATATGAATATATACGGTACATATACCAAAATAACATTTTTTACAATTTTTGTCTGCCTGTCTGTTTGTTCCGGCTAATCTCCGGAACGGCTGGACCGATTTTGACGAGATTTTCACTGATATGTAGCTGACGATATAAGGAGTAATTTAGGCTACTTTTTTTGACGAGCTTCGCCCCGCGTCGTTACCAGCGGTATGACAATAACCGCGGGTAGCACGCGGGACGCAGCTATCTCAATAATCAAATTTAATGTTTTCGAAGCGAAGCAAGGGCGGGTCGCTAGCTTAAAGATAAAAAATATAAAAAAATGCAAATAAATTACTTTGAAAAACCTTATTCCCTGATTCTGTTTAAAAATTCAGAGTTATTATATTTCCAGAATCAACGATATTTTCGATACTGTTGGCAGTATTGCCTATTTTATTATTTGTGGCTAAAAGCGATGGCCAACTCAGAAAAAACATGTTTTGGAGAAGTGCATAAGACATTTATTATAGACGTATTGAATTAACCCAAAGCGATTTTGTGTATTTATATTTGTATTTCCATAAGGGATAAGCCATAATCCACATCTAAACATCTTAGTACTTTAAAACACTGTGCACTCCATGTAGTAGGTAGGTAGCGTACAAGCGATTTTATTCGTTCATCTTTTTAGTATTGATTATGTATCTGTCAATGTCCGTCAATATAGTTTATTTAATGAGGCTTAAAGTTTTAAAGTCCTCAGCGGTAGGCAGCGAGTCCGTTGAGCTAATGTTAGGGTGTGATGTCCGCAAGCAGTGGTGACTAATCACGATGAGATGAGCTGTATGCTCGTTTACGTTTTGAAGTAGTCGTGGCCTAATGGATAAGATACCCGGTGCGCTCGTATTGAATGATGCGACTGTGCCGGTGTTCGAATCCCGCAGGCGGGTAAGAAATTTTCTAATACTACAGTGAGGGAATAACATCGTGAATAAAAATTTTTTAGAAGAGACTTCTGGATTTGGGTCTCAAAGTGGTCGAGAGCTCAATTAATTTATGTGTATTATCTATGAGAAGGTCCACCGAACTAAGCAATAAAAAAAACCTTATAAGGCAATACCATAAAAACTACGACCTATTTATAGACGTGATATAGAAAAAAAACGACGGTTAATGTTGTCCGTATGAACTCGCCAGTTAGGAATTCACGACAAATGGAAAAAAAAGGAAACAGGCAAACATTTTTATAAACATAAATTTATTATTGAAAATACACAATTATGTATATCATTTGGCCTTATAGTAACATTAGTGTATACAATAATAAAAACAATAATATTCCACTAATATAAAACACCATACAACAGTAGTTTATGATAGGTACTTAGAATATAAAACTTATTTTAATAATATCATTAATATAAAATCGTTTTGACTCGGACAAAAATTAAAAAAGCGACAGGAGACCTAAGAGTTTTTAATTCGGATCTACTTTGCATCCAAAAATGTTCAAAGGTTTGAACACGATGGTTCGAAAGGTAAATTAAAAAAAAATTTAGTTGTCTTCCTAGATTGCAATTTCTTGGATTAGAAAATTTAAAGAAGAATTTTGTACAGGAACATACGGTATTTTTGTTTTGACTTCAAATGCAGACAAGTTTACAGCTCATTTGATGATGAGTGGTTAGAGTTTGGCTTTAGTAAAGAGTCGAAATTGTAGTCATTTCCTTGTACAATTCAAAACTAAATTACTAATGAATTTATAATACTAATAATGAGTTTTGTTTTAAATATATATTTTAGTCTTTGTCCGTATCAAATACGATTCTCCAAAAATAAAGTTATTATTTTAAAATACTTAATATTCACGGAATGTATTTAAACTTACAGCTACAATGTCTTCCTCTTGTTACAGTTTTAATATTATGTTAGTAATTCGCCTTTTGGTATTGCTGTTTCATTCTTTTTGGCTTTAAGGTCTCATTACAGACTATTAAATCCTAAAAAAAACTTTTTAAGCAGTGTTAGGAATTATGGCTGTCAATGTTTGCTAGTTTGTGATTCCTATCAGTGTTTCGTTGATGAAAGAGATAATGATTCGATTTACCCAATGTATAAAGTTAACTTTTATTACCTAGTTGGTATTTTTAAATTATTCAGATATTATTAGTGGCATCTAAAATAGTTCAATTTACTAAATTTTAAATTTCGAATGCCTACGACATCATGGGCTTACTGAAAAAAAAATTAGCAATACCAAAATGGCTGTTTATATACAAGTTTTTTTTCTTTCGTTCAGATACTTCAGTCGCACTCTGGATTTTTACAATTATATTTTTTAAATAGAAAATATACAATTTGAAGACCCCCAACTTGAAGAGAATTATCACAGAACATAAGGAGGCTCACTTCAAATTTAATTTTAATTCATAACAATTTTGGTCCTAAACTTTATTGTTAGAATACTTTAAACAAAACACAACTTCGTTTTTCTTAAATAAAAAAAAACTACTGGTGAAATAAGTTTTATAAACATCATAATCACATATTAATTTTAAATTCAATTCATTATCTTTATAGGCACTTAGTGGAATGACATTGAGCATTTTAAAATTTTAATCCATTTTAAAAATCTAAAATGAATTTTAACAAGTCTTAAAAGAGATTACCCAAGTTTTAAAAGATTTGGGTCGATTAATAACAAAGACAGCAAAATCACTTTGAAATTATTTATAAGTTAGATTGGGATTAGATGTCTTTAGAACATTGTGATATGTAATTTTTTTAATTAGTAAACTAAAAACACTGGGACATAGTTTATTTATATATATATCTATATGGCTTATCCTGTTTAATTTATAATGTATGTATAATGTATATATGATGATATAGTAGATATAACTTTTAGTGCTGTCTCTGAAACTAATGACTCAAATATATTCTAATACTTTTTGTTGTAATATTCATATTTAGCATTAATTTTTAGCTCAGATTTATTTATTAAGTCATAATTCATAATATTTCGAGATTCATCTATATGTATAAGTTTTGTTTTATTCACGATTAATATTATAGAATAATATAACGTTTACAAAAATATATCTCTAGATGAGAACACATTGAGGAAGGAGATGAGAGCGTTTGGAACTAATAAAAGTGAATCATTTAAAATGAGGATTTTTGTGACAATTTATTACTGTCAAATTATGTTACAGATGACAGCAACTTTGACTTGACAGATCTTATGCTCAAGACAAAGGATCATTCATTACCCAGATGTCACTAATCTTTGTTGAGCTTGAGCATGTTTGAGCGTGACAACGGTACATTCAATTCAGAACGAACCTAATTGACAACTAGAGTAAAGCTTCCTCGCAACGGACTCACTTTTTAGCTCACAAAGCTACATCCACTCGAGCAACGCTTTTAGAAATTTCTAATAAATTCTACTATCACTGACGCACAAATATTCGTGACCAATAGCGATGGCAACACTATAACGATGCGTTCGCACATAATTTAGTTTAAAAACTAGTTTGCTATCTAAAAATACATTATTTCTTTTATTAGTTTTGCTTAGTTTTTTCGATGGTCCCTAGAGTGTGTGTCAATATAAATATTGTTATTATTTTTGGCTGGATATTACACGCTTAATACAAATTTGACTTTAACGTTAATGTGCGAATGAAATTTAAACACATAATTCAAGATACAGACAACAATGAAAGCGTTAACTGTTTAAAAGAAGAAAAAAAAACATCATGGCTGCACTGTTCTTCCTATCAAAATTAATCTGTAAGCTTCGTTAGCTAAACCTCAATTTCTTTTTTTCTATTTTAGAACCTCTTCACATAATATGACCCAGCGAAAAACAATTACAGGAGTTGTGGTAAATTTGACTTCAGTTAAGGCTGTACAGATTATCATTCAAGGACTTGCTCTAAATACGTCAATATTCTGGTGACATTTCATTAATTTGAAGTTTTATTAATTTTTTTTTTTTTTTAATTTATTTACGGCCAATGGTTACAAGACCTTATAGCAAGTTTTATTAAAATGAAGTAGGGTTTCACTCACTAAAATTCTAATTAGTGTATTTAGTGTATTGATGATTTGTGTAGACTTTATTTATATTATTAAAAAATTAGCAACACAGAACTATAGGAATCGGCTCAAAACGAAAGTAAATTGTGTTATGTATGTATTTATGTTAATGTAAATATGATAAGTATTTATGAGCTTGATGAGAGTAAGATGCCTTTAGTAGAGGTCACTTTCAAACTCTCATGTCTCTGAAATTATAAATCATAAATCAAAGTCGAATGTTTTTTTTTATGTTGCATTAAATTATGAAATTTGACATACTCATAAACGTCCAAGCTATATTTTTTGTATTCAATATCAAAACTTGTTTCATGCTTTTATTCATACAGGGACCATCGATTTAATATAAATATTAACGCACAGTAGGCTTGCTAAAATCGTCAAGCAAATTATTTAACAAAAAAAAACATAGGCATTTTAGATATGTTCCCTATGTCTTTACAAATACATTCCTAACATCGCATTTTATTAAATTATTTTTGTGTTTTCGTTTTTTTTAATTTAAATTATATATTATTTATCGTTCTTTTAATTTTTCTTTAAAGGATCGAGATTGTCTATTGAGAAATCGTCGTTTCCGAACGTTATGCCCCTCGTGAATCCATCCTGTTGGCAACAAAAAAGGTTTTGATATGGCAAATGGCTAAGAATACAAGGTAGGTAATGCCCCTGGCACTGCTGACGTCCATGGGCGACGGTAATCACTCAGCATCAGGTGGGCTGTATGCTCTTCTGCCTACAAAGGCGATAAAAAAAAAAGAACAATTTCGTTCTACATTACTGATTGTACTCATAGACACAGCCCACTGAGTTACTCGCCGGATCTTCTCAGTGGATCGCGTTTCCGATCCGGTGGTAGATTCTGTGAAGCACTGCTCTTGCTAAGGTCAGTGTTAGCATCACTCCGGTTTGAGCCCCGTGAGCTCACCTACTAGTTAAGGTTACGTTGAAATAGCCTCTCAAGGCTTTCAGGTTAGGTAGATAAAAAAACTGATTGTATTAAATAGTTGTTTTTATTTATTTATTAAAATTCACGTACCTTCATCTCTGATATGGTCTTATCTAGGAACCCGTTGAAGCTGCTGTTCAATTCGACCGTCTGTTTGTCGCTCAGATTCCCGAAGCCGGCGAACGCGTTCGCGTAATCGTTCCCGAATATGTTCGCGCCCGTCTTCTGAGCTTCGAACGGGTCGTAGCCGGTGAGGTTCGCCGTGAACACCGACGTTTGGAGGTTGAAGTCGCTTATGTTGTAGTTGGGCGTCGGCGCGAACGGAGCTTGCGCGGGCGTAGAGCTGTGCACGAACGGGGCCGAGCCGAACAGGTCACTCGGGTTCGCGGCGGGCGCTCGCCGCGGCGTCGTCGGCTGGTGCGGCGGCGTCGCCGTGTTGTGCGGCGGCGTTTGACGTTTCGACGCCTTAGGCGGCGGCGCCACTGGAACGCGAATCGAAATATTTAATCGTATTAATTCCGTTAAAAGTGCACTTTTTTGTTTTTTAATACGTTCCAAGGTGATGGAGCGAATCATAAACATCGAACTTCTTAAGTATCTTGAAGATCGCCAGCTGATAAATGACCGGCAGTACGGTTTCCGTCATGGTCGCTCAGCTAGCGATCTTCTTGTATACCTCACACATAAATGGCCTGAAGCCTTCGAAAGCAGGGGCGAGGCTCTCGCTGTGAGCCTTGACATCGCGAAGGCCTTCGACAGGGTCTGGCATAGGGCACTTATATCGAAACTTCCAGCTTAAGGGATCTCTGAGGGACTCTGCAACTGGATCGCTAGCTTTTTGGATGGACGGAGCATCGCAGTTGTCGTCGACGGCTGCTGCTCCGATACCATGACTATCAACGCTGGTGTTCCACAAGGCTCGGTGCTCTCCCCCACGCTTTTCATACTGCATATCAATTACATGTTATCTATTGATGGCTTGCATTGCTATGCGGATGATAGCACGGGGATGCGCGATATATCGGCCATCAGAGTCTCTCTCGAAGCGTTGTACACGAGAGGCGATTGAAACTTGTGTCTGAAGTGGAGAATTCTCTGGGGCGGGTCTCCTAGTGGGGTGAACTGAATTCAGTTCAGTTCAACCCATTGAAGACACAGGTTTGCGCGTTCACCGCGAAGAAGGAGTTCATGGCGCCGGAATTTCAAGAAGTATCCCTGCAGCTTTCCGCGAGTATCGGGATTCTGGGGGTCGATATTTCGAGCGATGTCCAATTTCGTAGTCATTTGGAAGATAAAGCCAAATTGGCCTCTAAAGTGTTGGGAGTCCTCAACAGAGCGAAGCGGTATTTCACGCCTGGGCAGAGACTTGCGCTTTATAAAGCGCAGGTCCGACCTCGCGTGGAGTACTGCTCTCACCTCTGGGCCGGGGCTCCCAAATACCAGCTACTTCCATTTGACTCCATACAGAAACGGGCGGTTCGGATGGTCGATAGTCCTGCTCTCGCGTATCGCTTGGAACCGCTGGGTCTACGGAGGGACTTCGGTTCTCTCTGTGTTTTATATCGCATGGTCCATGGGAAATGCTCTGAGGAACTATTCGAGATGATCCCCTCATCTCCTTTTTATCATCACACCTCTCGCCATCGGAGCAGAGTTCATCCACATTATCTGGAACCGCTGCGTTCATCGACAGTGCGTTTCCAAAGATCTTTTTGCCACGTACCATCCGGCTTCGGAATGAACTCCCCTCCACGGTGTTTTCCGAGCGCTATGAAATGTCCTTCTTCAAACGAGGCTTGCGGAGAGTACTTAATGGTAGGCAGCGGCTTGGCTCTGCCCCTGGCGTTGCTGACGTACATGAGCGACGGTGACCACTTACCATCAGGTGGGCCGTATGCTCGTGAGGCAATAAAAAAAATGTCGAGCGGTGAAGGGCGACATTTCGCTTGATACGCATGATTTATATTTTTAATTAAAGGTGCTTTTTATTTAGGATTAGTCTCAACAGTTCGATATCTAATTAAGTAATAAACCTAAAATTGGAACACCCTATATTTAATTCCGTATTCACGAGTCGTTGAATTAATTATCACTAGTTTAGTACCTCGCATTTGTTCATCATGATGACAACTCTAAATAGTTCTTTGCAAGCTGCTGTGGGGAAAATTAAATGAGTTTAGTTTAGTAGACTTACATAACGGAGGCGCCGGTGACACCGTGCTGTCCATGGTCAGACCTGGATAGCGGAGGACGTGGTCCGATTCGTGGGCGCGAGGATCAAAATCTGAATGATGATTAACATTTCGATTATTATTATTTTTTATATATAAGGTTTATGGTATGCGCTTAATTTAAAAGAGACGGAACGTGTAAAACTCAAAGTAAAGTATATATAAATAATAGTTTAAAAACTAAAACAAAAAAAATACGCTTTTATAGAAAATCCAACTAAACAATAGAAAAAAAATTTGAATAAATTTGAATTAAAAATAGTGTAAGAAAAACGATTTTATTGTAAAAAAAGCGTGGGGTGCATGGTATCATCAGTAGTTATAAACATTTTATGAACAGATATGAGTAGTAGAAAGGTTATTTTGATAATATCCTGAAAAGCACCCCACGCTTTTTTACAATAAAATATTTTTTTCTTAAATTATTTTTAATTCAAATTTATGACTTCTTTTTTTAGTTGGATTTTCTATAAAAGCGTATTTTTTAGTATTTTTAAACTATATATTTATTTTTTATTGTTTAGTTGAATTTAAGTTTTTCCAATTTTTTTAAAATATTGAATTGTCATCGCTCCTTAATAAGTATGCCAAATTTCAAGTTAATCCGACGTTTTGAAGAGGTCAAAATCATGTTCAAAGATTCCGTTACATACATGCACACGTCTGAAGCTAATAAAAGCGTATTAAAAATCACTTTCTTCTATATATTTTTTTTTTTGTCAGGCCCCTTTAATTTTCAAACTACAACAATACCCCCCCAACGCCCCTATTCACACACACGTATTCACTTACCGCTGTCCGAATCTGAGTTGAGTATCAGCTCCTCAAGTCTCGGACCTACGACGGGATTCTTTGGCAGATCGAGGAGTCCCTTACTGAAAACATAAATAGTTTATTAATAACAATCGTTGTAAACTGAAGATACGCGTGCACGTTTTGAAGTCGTTGTGGCCTAAAACCTTCGTCAAACAGAACGCGTAATTATTGCGCGTCAGAGCGCTAACCTGACGCCGCGCTATGACGCCGAGACGTGTTGTACTACTATGGTAACATACCGTCAAACAGAGCACCAGCGCTATAAGTACGCAGCGCTCTGTCGCGGCGTTAGGACGCTTTGACGTCAGGCGTTGTAATTTTTTACAAATTTTATTTTAGCGTCCGAGTGAATGTGTATTAAAATACAGTCAAACCTGGGTAAGTGAGAACTGGATAAGTGAGAAAACTCTATAAGTGAGAGTAATAGCCAGGACCCGTCATTTTAAGCTCCCAAAACCTCTATTAGCGAGAAACAGAAACCTCTGTAAGAGAGAGTCGTTTTTCCCTCATGGACCTCCGTAAGTGAGACTGCTACTTATCTATACCTCTATAAGCGACAGTCGNTGGATAGCGGAGGACGTGGTCCGATTCGTGGGCGCGAGGATCAAAATCTGAATGATGATTAACATTTCGATTATTATTATTTTTTATATATAAGGTTTATGGTATGCGCTTAATTTAAAAGAGACGGAACGTGTAAAACTCAAAGTAAAGTATATATAAATAATAGTTTAAAAACTAAAACAAAAAAAATACGCTTTTATAGAAAATCCAACTAAACAATAGAAAAAAAATTTGAATAAATTTGAATTAAAAATAGTGTAAGAAAAACGATTTTATTGTAAAAAAAGCGTGGGGTGCATGGTATCATCAGTAGTTATAAACATTTTATGAACAGATATGAGTAGTAGAAAGGTTATTTTGATAATATCCTGAAAAGCACCCCACGCTTTTTTACAATAAAATATTTTTTTCTTAAATTATTTTTAATTCAAATTTATGACTTCTTTTTTTAGTTGGATTTTCTATAAAAGCGTATTTTTTAGTATTTTTAAACTATATATTTATTTTTTATTGTTTAGTTGAATTTAAGTTTTTCCAATTTTTTTAAAATATTGAATTGTCATCGCTCCTTAATAAGTATGCCAAATTTCAAGTTAATCCGACGTTTTGAAGAGGTCAAAATCATGTTCAAAGATTCCGTTACATACATGCACACGTCTGAAGCTAATAAAAGCGTATTAAAAATCACTTTCTTCTATATATTTTTTTTTTTGTCAGGCCCCTTTAATTTTCAAACTACAACAATACCCCCCCAACGCCCCTATTCACACACACGTATTCACTTACCGCTGTCCGAATCTGAGTTGAGTATCAGCTCCTCAAGTCTCGGACCTACGACGGGATTCTTTGGCAGATCGAGGAGTCCCTTACTGAAAACATAAATAGTTTATTAATAACAATCGTTGTAAACTGAAGATACGCGTGCACGTTTTGAAGTCGTTGTGGCCTAAAACCTTCGTCAAACAGAACGCGTAATTATTGCGCGTCAGAGCGCTAACCTGACGCCGCGCTATGACGCCGAGACGTGTTGTACTACTATGGTAACATACCGTCAAACAGAGCACCAGCGCTATAAGTACGCAGCGCTCTGTCGCGGCGTTAGGACGCTTTGACGTCAGGCGTTGTAATTTTTTACAAATTTTATTTTAGCGTCCGAGTGAATGTGTATTAAAATACAGTCAAACCTGGGTAAGTGAGAACTGGATAAGTGAGAAAACTCTATAAGTGAGAGTAATAGCCAGGACCCGTCATTTTAAGCTCCCAAAACCTCTATTAGCGAGAAACAGAAACCTCTGTAAGAGAGAGTCGTTTTTCCCTCATGGACCTCCGTAAGTGAGACTGCTACTTATCTATACCTCTATAAGCGACAGTCGAGCTTTATTTAAATATAATATATTATTTAGGAGGAACAAATGACAAAACAAATTCTGCTATTTTATGACTCATTCTTAGCTTTCGTGGAACTTCCTACCATTGTTTTTGTATTGTTTTCTCGTCAATATTGAATCTATTCTATTTTGTGGAACTAAATAACGTTGTTATTTTATCGCATTCTTTTCGAATGGACACGTGTGCCTGTGTACCGTTCTCTTTGTCGGACTTACTCTTTTTTTTTTTTATCGTTAATTGCGAAGGAATGTTCTGTTCTGCATCATATCAAAACGGAAAATTAAGGTACTGTGATTAAGTGATAAACTTAAAATAGTTAATGCGTTTCAATCCGGAAAATCGCGAAATGAAATTCAGAGAGTGCATTAGCGAGAAACTTGGGTTAGTGAGAAACCTCTATAAGCGAGAATGAGATTGTGCTCCCTTGAACTCTCGCTTATCCAGGTTTGACTGTACTAGATAATGCCCGAAAAAATGATATAAATAGTTAGAAAATACCTATGCTTATACAATGCCACATCTGAATCACTCGATTTCTTAATACTTTTAAATTTTTACACTGCATTGAAAGGCACTATGATTTGGCGAATGCGTTGCGTCAAGGAGCGTTAGACTCATCTAGTCAATTAGAAGAGCGCGACGTTAAGTACGCGGCGCTAAGTACGCGTTCTGTTTGACGAAGGCTTAAAGACGTCCGGAGCATTAGTACGTTGCGATGCACCGGTGTTCGAATCCCGCAGGCGGGTACCAATTTTTCTAATGAAATACGTACTCAACAAATGTTCACGATTGACTTCCACGGTGAAGGAATAGCATCGTGTAATAAAAATCAAAGTCGCAAAATTATAATTTGCATAATTCCTGGCGGTAGGGCCTTTCCTGAATCCGTACCGATAGGTACCACCACCCCGCGTATTTCTGCCGTGAAACAGTAATGCGTTTCGGTTTGAAGTGTGGGGCAACCGTTGTAACTATACTGAGACGTTCGAACTCATATCTCAAGGTGGGTGGCGGCATTTACGTTGTAGATGTCTATGGGCTCCAGTGACCACTGAACACCAGGCTATGAGCTCGTCTACCCATGTGTGCAATAAAAAAGAACCTTCCATTTCCTTCCACTGCTGTACCATTTCCTTCTCTTCCGATCAGCAGCAGCAGTGTTTCCTACCCTACGTCGTTGCAAATGTCGTCCGTATCCTCCTCCTCCTCGAGTCGTGTTCCTCATGTCTGAGGGTCGTGACCACCATCACCCATAAGCTTCAATATAATCAAGCGTATACATATACACTAAGTCAAAGACTTGAAACCCCTTAAAACACAGTCCACTTCGCTTCCCTGAATCTAAGTATCCTCTAAACAGGAACCTGTGGCGACTCACTTACTCGCCACTACTTGGGCAACCGCCTTACAATTTGACAAAATCGCTGTCGCCTATGAATTCAGGCAAATCATCTATTATTGTTGTTTAACACTTCGGAATCTTAAGAAACTGCGGGCAGTACTCATCGATATTTGCTGTGCTACCCATCGTTCGTGTCAGTGCTTTACTACTCCTATATGTTATTTCTTTATCGTACCACTCCTGTCATAGTTTGTTTGTGTATTGTGCTATCTTCAATAAACTATTCAAAGCAGTACATATTTATACTCACTGTGTAAACCATCCTTCGTGTCAGCGCCTACCTAATACAGTTAGAAGCAGAACTAATACAACTACTTCTACAGTGGTACTTCTACAGTGGTGACCCTCGACAGCAAGAAGAACCGAAGATAAGTGGATTAAATGTATAATTAATTATCATATCCATTATCGTTTTCGGCTATAACATTTTTGTTCAACAAGGTAGACGCAAAATATTTTTAACCGGTGGTCCAAGTCACACGTACTGAGCGTATTTAAATATTTATCCGGTATGGCCCAAAAAGAAGATCCAAAGATGTCTCAAGAAATCTACAGAGTTGGTGTGCGCATTCCACCATTCTGCTCAGAGGACCCAGAAATGTGGTTTAGTCAGATAGAGATGCAATTTAAGCTCTCAGGGATATCTGTGGACGATACTAAGTTTACGTATGTGTCAGCGAACCTGGAACCACAGTACGCCAAGGAGGTAAGAGACATCATAACTAAACCGCCAGCTTCAAATAAATACGAAAAACTCAAAACGGAGCTGATCAAGCGACTATCGATATCACAGGAGAAGCGTGTAAGACAACTCCTCATGCACGAAGAACTCGGAGATCGGAAACCGTCTCAGTTTCTACGCCACTTGACAAGTCTAGCTGGTTCAGACGTTCCATCTGATTTTATAATAACTATCTGGACCAGTCGTCTGCCTGTGAACGTGCAAACAGCAGTCGCTACGATTAAAGGATCGTCAATGGAGAAGCTGAGTGACTTGGCAGATGTAGTATATGAAATGGCCCCAACAGTACCACAGGTGGCAAGCGCGTCTTCCCAAGCCCAAGGCAATGAGCGAGGCAATCCGACGATGAGTGAGATGGCCCAGCAAATCAATTCGCTGACACAGCAAATCAGCATGCTCTCTAAACAGGTGGCTGGAAGAAGCCGTTCAAGAAATAGGTCTAGGCGCCGCTGGAACGGTCGTTCTCAAAGTCGCTCCAAGCCTAGACAACCACCCGCAGATCACCCTTACTGTTTCTACCACTTTACTTATGGGACCAAAGCTCATAAGTGCAAACAGCCATGCAGTTTCGCGTCGGAAAACTCCTGGGGCGGTCGGAAGTAGCGGCCAACGACTGCCCACATTCTTCAGGCCGTCTTTTTATCACCGACCGTACTTCAAAAATGCAGTTCCTAGTGGACACTGGTTCCGATCTGTGTGTTTTTCCACGNCGAGTATAGTAGCTTACCAGTTTATTGCGACACCAGTGTGCACCCTCCACGACCATTCATCACAAAAGATATGCGAAGACAAGTCTTCAACACACTGCATGGACTTCATCACCCAGGATCGTCAGCTACAGTCCGACTGGTTGCGCAAAGATTTGTGTGGCCAGGGATTCGGAAAGACTGTAGAGAGTGGTCAAGACAATGCTTAAACTGTCAGAGAAGTAAAGTAACTCGCCATACAGTTTCTCCTCTTTCCTCTTTCCTTACTCCTTCGTCAAGATTCACTCATATCCATCTTGACATCGTAGGGCCTCTAAATCTGTCTGCTGGTTTCAGGTACTGCCTCACTGTCATTGACCGCTTTACCCGATGGCCTGAGGTAATACCACTCAGCGAAATTACAGCTGAAGCTTGTGCTGCCGCTCTCGTTAGCGGCTGGATTGCCAGATTTGGATGTCCACTGCGGGTAACTACCGACCGCGGTCGTCAATTCGAGAGTCACTTATTCAAAGCCATAGCTGCATTAATAGGTGCTCACCACTTCCGGACTACCGCATATCACCCCGCTGCTAACGGAATAGTCGAACGCATGCATCGCCAGTTGAAGGCAGCCATCATGTGCCATACATCTTCGCAATGGACTGAAGCACTTCCTCTCGTACTGATGGGCATGCGCAGTTCCTGGAAGGATGACATTGACGCATCCCCTGCAGAGCTGGTGTACGGCGAGCCCCTCTGTCTGCCAGGTCAATTCATTTCACCAAATGAAGACTACAAAGTATCTGACGTCACCCAGTATGCAACTCGTCTACGTGCATGCATGGCGAATTTGACACCGAGACCAACATCCTGGCATAGCAATTCACCATTTTATATACCTCGTGATTTACATACAACCTCCCATGTCTTCATCCGACAAGATCATGTGCGTGGTTCTCTGGTACCACCATATGCTGGTCCGTTCAAGGTTATCAAAAGGCAGCCAAAATTCTTCACTGTCGAAGTTCGAGGGAAGCTTGTAAATGTCTCCATAGATCGTCTAAAGCCGGCCTACATGATGAGAGTTCCAGAAGGTGTATCTCCAACCAAGCCTGTTGAAAAGACCACAAGAAGCGGCCGAAAGATTAAACTGCCTGACTACTATCGACCGTAGTCACGGTCTCGCCGGGGAGTGATGTGGCGACTCACTTACTCGCCACTACTTGGGCAACCGCCTTACAATTTGACAAAATCGCTGTCGCCTATGAATTCAGGCAAATCATCTATTATTGTTGTTTAACACTTCGGAATCTTAAGAAACTGCGGGCAGTACTCATCGATATTTGCTGTGCTACCCATCGTTCGTGTCAGTGCTTTACTACTCCTATATGTTATTTCTTTATCGTACCACTCCTGTCATAGTTTGTTTGTGTATTGTGCTATCTTCAATAAACTATTCAAAGCAGTACATATTTATACTCACTGTGTAAACCATCCTTCGTGTCAGCGCCTACCTAATACAGTTAGAAGCAGAACTAATACAACTACTTCTACAGTGGTACTTCTACAAACCCAATTCAAAAGTAATAGATTTAAAGGCATAATCAGATATTTGTCTCCATCATATCATAATAAGCACTTTATAAGTTCAATATACATAAAGTTGTCATATTCAAAAATTTATTAACAAACGGATTTTTGAAGTTGTAACATTTGTAAGATTGCGTGTAACTGTTTCATGACGTCACTGTTATTAAACTAGGGCGTGCGAGGGAGATGGCGAGATGGTTTCTCTTTGCACACCCATTCTATATAACCTGTCATTACAAAAGACTTAGACAGAGTATACTTTATTGCACACGAAAATACATTTTAAACATATGCACTCGAGAGGCGAGTTTCGCTCAACACTTTGATGCATAAAATTCACTGCGCTGTGTAAACTATTTAAGTCTCTTTATTCACTTCACTCACCCGGCGCTCATCTTCCCATTGTGTGTCGGCGGCGGCGTGGGGAGAAGCAGATTGTTGTCGCTTGAATTGAACGTGTCCGTCGAGTTGTTTGATGTGGAGTCTGTGCCTGAAAACAAATATGGCCGCGATGTCTAAAGGCAACGGAATCAAGTTCAGAGTGCCCAACGATATCTCATATCTACAAGCATAGACACAGCCCACTGAGTTTCTCGACGGATCTTCTCAGCATTGCATCGCATCGCATTTCTGATCCGATGGTAGATTCTGCGAGGCACTGCTCTTGGTAGGGCCAGTGTTAGCAACACTCCGGTTTGAGTCCCGCGAGCTCACCTACTAGTTAGGGTTACGCTGAAATAGCCTCTCAAGGCTAAAAATCTATTAGCTTCGTTCATGTCGCTCTAAGTTTTGGCAATTATTTTTATGATCGACCGCCTGCCTGACCTCAATCCTCCTTGGGAAATGCTTGGCCTTGACCTTGGGCCTAGGTTGTATTCACTTTGGTTAGGCTTTGGCTCTTAGTCGCCTTTTACGACTTCCATGAGCTAAGTTTGGGTTGGGAGTGTTCTTAGGCACCCACCACACTCTTACGAGAAAGCGAAGAAGAGAGCGAAGAAATGGTATATGATAGATCAGTTTTATTTTTATTTTTATTGCGTAGATGAGTGGACGATCTCACAGCCCATAGACATCTACAACGAAAATGCGCCACCTACCTTGAGATATAAGTTCTAAGGTCTCGAGTGTAGTTACAACGGCTGCCCCACCCTTCACACCGAAAGGCATTACTGCTTCACGGCAAAAATAGGCAGGGTTGTGGTACCTACCCGCGCGGACTCACAAGAGGTCCTACCACCAGCAAAAAGTAGTAAAAACCAGTTTTAGTGAGTATAATCTGGAATGTTCTGTCGAAATCGCTACACAAACTCACCGATTTCAGGGGTCTTGTTCCCGTTCATGGCGCTGAAGCCGTTCGCTAAGGTCAGCGAGGCGAGCTGCTTCTCCAACTCCTGGGGTACCTTGAACTCTGTAATCTCGGAGAGACTGTTCCTGGCCAGGTAGGCGGAGAGGTCGTCTTTATACGTGACCTTCGACAGCTCCTGGAATTGATGAAGAAGACCCGATGATTAGTAAAGGCGAATGGTTTCCTTGTGGGAATAATTATTTGATTTGAATAACCTCTTCAAGAACACTTGAGACACATTTGTACGTTTTTTTTTCTACCTATGCTGATGGCCTTGAGAGGCTATGTCAGCGTAACCTCACAAGTAGGTGAACTCACGGGGCTCAAGCCTGACGACGTTGCTAACACTAACCCAAGAAAAAGCAGTACTTCGCAGAGTCTACCACCGGATCGGAAACGCGACCCACTGATAAGATCTGGCGAGTAACTCAGTGGGCTGTGTCTGTGGGTTCATTTACTCGCCGAGCCCTTCGTCGCAAGCGACGGGTTCGACGAGAACGATTACCGGCGCTGACCTAAAAGCACTGTTAGTGGATCGGTGGAAACCCAATAGCCTTCCACTCCTCGTTATGTGGTCTTAATTTGTTTCTAATGAATATTCACTACCTATTTTTGTTATTTTCTTTTACTTATTGAATTATTTTCGATAAAAAAATAAACGAATCGCAATAAATAGTAAAATTCATGTGTTTTTGTATTTAAAAGAATTAGTTATCATGAGAAGACGTAAAGAGGTTTTATTTATTTATTTATTTATTTATTACATATATATATGAATCGATTACCTGAAGTCTAGTCCTGTACGCTTTCATTTGCAGTTCAAGCTTTTTGTTTTGCAACGAAAGCTTCTGCATTTCGATGTATTTGCCGTTGTCGTTTAAGAATCTCCTGTGGAGAGAGGATTGCCTGTTTTACAGTGGACCATTGTAATGAAACGGTTTTTTTATTGCTTAGATGGGTGGCCGAGCTCACGGCCCACCTGGTGTTAAATGTCGCCACCCACCTTGAAATATGAATTCTAAGGTCTCTCAGTACAGTACAACGGCTGCCCCGCCCTTTGAACTGAAACTCTGCTTCACGGCAGAAATAGGCAGGGTGGTGGTACCTACCCGTGCGGACTCACGAGACGTCCTACCACCAGTAAAAATGGTAATCACAGTATGTAGGTTTAGATTAGGTATCGGGTTATACCAGACTTTGGCTGGCCACTGACTCATTAAACATTAAAAGAAAAAGGTTTAAAAAGAATGAAAAAACAACTTTATTGTAGCTCTCAATCTGTGTTCAAAATTCGACCTTAATTGTTGTGCAATAAAGATTCATAATACATTCATATATTGTGTTAAATTTTTACTTGTAATATAAAATAAATAATAGTTTAAAAAAGCTAACAAAATACACTTTTATAGAAAATCCAAATAAAAAATAGAAAATAAATTACATTACACAAAATAAGTACATGTATTTTCTACATGGATACCAGGTTTCAAGTCAATCGGATGCACGGTTCAGTAGTTATAACGGAACATCCGTAAAAATCACGATAGATTTATATATTAGTATAGATAATTTTATCAATATTATATTAGCCACGGTACCTGTAGGCCAGATCGAAGGCCTGTCCGATGGTGAGCGTGATCTCGGACGCGAGTTTAGTAGAAATGAACACGAAGCACTCATGCCTCTCGGTGTTGCCAGCGTCGTGGCCGTTGACCCCGTTAACGGTGCTGCCACCTTTCGCGATGAACGAGAAATATTTCTTGGCGCCTTTATCGTCCGCGCAGTACGATATCCGGTGGAGCGGGAACTGGTACATTATATTGTTCGAACGTGGTTCCTAAAATGTAGTATTATTAAAATTTTATTTGATTAAAAAAAAAAACACCATTCATAGCCAACATAACGTTTTTTCGCATTAAAAGTGTACAATTTCCTAAAATATTCGAAATTGAGTTAATATGCGTATACATTTGGTATCACCAGTCTTTTCTCATAAATACGTACGTCAAAAGAGCGTAGTTTAGTTTTTTTTTTTTTAGCTTACCTGTTTTTACTACTATTAATCAAAATTAATACAGAGTTTTATTTTACTTTAATAGACAGATAATGTAACTGGTAAAAAATAAAAAAATAAATGTTGCAAAGATGATTAATATTAAAAATATCACATGTTAAACCTTTAAAACACTCTCCTGTAAAATTAGTCAGTTTTGAGATTATACAGTTTTAATGCGAGAAGATGAAAATAGATTCTGTTTTAATAGGGCGTCTTGAAATAATCTTAAATTAAATTTTAACTACGACCTGCGCATGATAGAAATTCCTAGGTTTTTTTTATACTAAAGGCGAACGCTCGTTTCGCATTTAAGATTGTATTGTGTAGTACGATTTCATATCGTTATGCTGGTACGAGTAACGCCATCTGTAGTCGAACAGCAGAAATATATTTCAAATCAACTAGTTCTATCGGGAACGTTCGAGATGCATTATGGCGATACGAGTAACGCCATCTGTTGTCATGTCTCATATCGCAAACGGATATCGAAACGACTAGTGCTATCGAAAATTTTCTGCAAAATTGTAGACATGTCGTGTCGACTATCTCTCTCTCTTCGATCGGTTCCTCACTGCTGAGGATCGTGACTCCGTCCGATTTCGTCAACCAACTGTCTCCATCGATCCCACCCTGCAGCCCGGTGGAGTGCGTCGCTGATAGGTATCCCCAGTTTCTCCGCTATTTGGTCCGACCATCGTATGGGACCTCTACCCCTTTTTTTTTTTTATCGCGTCGACTATAGAGCCATTAAAAAGTCGCGATGAAGACTGTCAGTAATGTGTTCTACTCGAAGCGAAAGAGTGACCAGATCCACTGAAGCGAAGCGATATAAGTGACTTGATATATAATAGACTATCTTATGTGTCGCGATAATTAAATTGAATTTTAATCTTGTATTTCGTTGAAAAGTTTTTATTTATCCCGAACCGTAATAAGATTATCTCTAAATATAAAAATGAATTGCTGTTCGTTAGTCTCGCTAAAACTCGTGAACGGCTGGACCTATTTGGCTAATTTTGACCTTGAATTATTTGTGGAAGTCCAGAAAAGGTTTAAAAGGTAGATAAATATGAAAATGTTCGGAATTAAATAAAAATAACAATTTTGTTTTTCCTTTGATGTATCCCCCGTCGGACGGGTTCCTTTTGTTTGTTTTAATTTTTTTTTTACAATAGTTTAGGTCTTTTATTTATCGATTGAGGCACAACGAAGTCTACCGGGTCAGCTAGTTATTGATAATTATTAACGAGTTATTCGAGTATAACGATATGAAAGAAAAATATTTAACTTATTATTATTTTTAAACTGAACTAATGAAATAGTTAATTAGACGGTAGTTTTCGCAATATTCAAAGGTCGACGACTTAGTAGTCTTTGAACACGGAAATTGTGAAGAATTCGAAACATCTGAAATAATATTATGAAGACATTGAACACTAATAACTGGTAGATTAAATCTTAAACATAGTTTTAAATTTTTTTTGAAGCTATTGCATAGCTTTATCGCTGGCTTTGAGCGCGGCGACCAAGTCAAGAAATTCCGTAACGAAAATAAAACCTAACACCCTCCACTCCGCTTAACATGTAGCACGCGTTCAACACATTCACAAGTTGCGCTTGTGTAGTGTTTGCGAATAAGCGCGGGGCGTGACGTCGCACTGCATGCACATCATGAAAAGTCTGCCCATCTCTCTCTCGCGCGGTCTACTTTATGTGTGTGAAGGGGACAGTTAATGTTTTGCTTATGTTAATGATTATAGATATAGCGTGGTCTTATTTTATTATTGTTTTAATATTAAATTATTATTGTCTAATTATAATAACATAAGTTGATAAAAATGCTTTGCAATAGCTTTACCGCGACAGTCCCCGAGTGCAACACGTGTTTTTTTATTTTTTTATTGTCTTTGTAGGCAGACGAGCATACGGGCCACCTGATGAAAAGTGGTCACCGTCGCTCATGGACGTCAGCAATGCCAGGGGTAGAGCCAAGCCACTGCCTACCATTAAGTACTCTTCTCAAGCCTCGTTTGAAGAAGGACATGTCATAGCGCTCGGAAAACATCGTGGAGGGGAGTTCATTCTAAAGCCGGATGGTACGTAGCAAAAAAGGTCTTTGGAAACGCACTGTCGATGAACGCAACGGTTCCAGATAATATGGATGAACTCTGCTCCGATGGTGGGAGGTGCGATGGTAAAAAGGAGATGAGGGATCATCACGAATAATTATATTCCTGTCTAATCATAAACAACATCAATGATATTGCAGTGAAGAAGTAACGCTATCTGATTTGGTGGATGAGTGGGGCCAGCAGTTAAATCCCGCACTGACCGCATGCGTGCTGTTCACAGACACTTAAGACGAGACCGCGTGCAAAGAAAAACTTTCTTGTATTAGGTGGATGGTGGCATTTGCGTTGTAGATGTTTATGGGCTCCAGTAACCACTCAAGACTAAGAGGGCTGTGAGCTCGTCCATCCATCTTGGCAATAATAAAAAAAAAAGTGAAAAGTTTCAACCGCTTCATCTATTGTTGTTGTTTTCACCAATACAACTAAATCCGCCGATTATAATTTGCCAATTTTATATACGCATGTGTATGTAATTACAAAATGAACTCTCTTACGAAACGGGTAAGGTTCATTCGGAACGACAATAAAAACGCGAAAACTTTCACTACCAAAGGCGCACACGATATTAGTTTTACGTAATACTAAAACAATTATAAATCTCACGTACACTGGAAATAAGGTTGTTACGTATTTTTTATTAGTCAACTTTCTTAATCGGTCGACTTTGTAGACGTCAATATTGAACGCAAGTGCTTTAGATACACTGAATTACATTTAACACTAATGCGTGCCCATACTCGGAAAACTAAGTTTTTTTTTTTATTGCTTAGAAGGGTGGACGAGCTCACAGCCCACCTGGTGCTAAGTGGTTACTGGAGCCCATAGAAATCCACAACGTAAATGCGCCACCCACCCCTTTGAGATATAAGTTCTAAGGTCTCAAGTATAGTTACAACGGCTGCCCCACCCTTCAAACCGAAACGCATTACTGCTTCACGGCAGAAATAGGCAGGGCGGTGGTACCCACCCGCGCGGACTCATAAGAGGTCCTACCACCAGTAAGAAGTATCCAGTTTTTTTCCTACCTATGCTGTTTGTCTAGAGAGACTATATCAGCGTTACCTTAGCGTGTAGGTGAGCCTCGGGGCTCAAACCGGCTGCCTGTCTGATCTCTAATTATGAATCTAAGCCACCATAGCCATATCAAAATAAACACCTGCATTCGTTACAAAAAAAAAAAGAAAAAACTACTAAATCACAGATTAATTTACCTGTATGGCAACACCGTCCACAGATATCGTTATTTCGACTTTCTTGCATTTCGCGCCATCTTTCGCTTCGGACTTCTTCAGTTGCTGTGTGAACTGTAGTTTCTTGATTGCATCTTTGACCACCTCGATGCCTTTCGGCTGGTCTACTTGGGTGCAGCCGAGGAACTGAAATCGAGAAAATGTTTATTTATTTTTAGGTTTTTAAAAAAAAAAAAAATTGCTTAGATGGGTGTACGAGTTCACAGCCCACCTGGTGTTAAGTGGTTACTGGAGCCCATAGACATTTACAACGTAAATGCACAACCCACCTTGAGATATAAGTTCTAAGGTCTCAGTATAGTTACAACGGCTGCCCCACCCTTCAAACCTTTCCAGTTTCACAAGAACAGGTAGGGCTCAGCCANGATATCGTTATTTCGACTTTCTTGCATTTCGCGCCATCTTTCGCTTCGGACTTCTTCAGTTGCTGTGTGAACTGTAGTTTCTTGATTGCATCTTTGACCACCTCGATGCCTTTCGGCTGGTCTACTTGGGTGCAGCCGAGGAACTGAAATCGAGAAAATGTTTATTTATTTTTAGGTTTTTAAAAAAAAAAAAATTGCTTAGATGGGTGGTCGAGTTCACAGCCCACCTGGTGTTAAGTGGTTACTGGAGCCCATAGATATTTATATGCCAACGTAAATGCGCCACCCACCTTGAGATATAAGTTCTAAGGTCCCAGTATAGTTACAACGACTGCCCCACCCTTCAAGCCGAAACGCATTACTGCTTCACGGCAGAAGGAGGCGGGGTGGACCACCACCTACCAGTGCTGACTCAAAAGAGGTCCTACCACCAAATCACTAGAAATTCACGGTTGAATGATATAGTGTAGTGGTGGGCGGTAACTTTATCGTCGCATATAAATTAGATTATAGCCTTTTGTTTGTTATACTGTCGTTTTTATTACGAACTAGCTGACCCGGCAGACTTCGTAGTGCCTAAATCGATAAATAAAATACCTAAACTTTTGTATAAAATAAACTTAAAATAAACAAAACAAATCCGTCCGATGGGGGACACATTAAACGGAAAACAAAATTGTTATTTTTATTATTTAATTCCGAACATTTTCATTCATTTATCTACCTTTTAAACCTTCTCTGGACTTCCACAAATAATTCAAGGACCAAAATTAGCCAAATCGGTCCAGCAGTCCTCGAGTTTTACCGAGATTAACGAACAGCAATTCATTTTTATATATAACTAACTAGCTGTACCCGTCCGCTTCGCTGGGCGTTTAAAATTAACATTATTATTTCTCACCGCCACAAAGATTCTCATCATTAACGCCCCCGCAACTGGTGTAGGGAGTCCAACGCTCATATAAATATTAGCCTATCCATTAAGTACATGTATTTTCTACATGGATACTAAGTTTCAAGTCAATCGGATGCATGGTTCAGTAGTTATAACGGAACATCCGTAAAAACCACTGTAGATTTATATATTAGTATAGAAGAGAGATAAAACGACCGATTGATTACGCATCGCGTCGTTGTCGTATAGAATAAGGGGGCGGTTCCAGCGCCACGCTCCGGCTATCTTGACGCGTGTAGCATCAACAGTTTTATCGTCGCCGCGTGGACGTATTATCGGGAACTGGTGTAAGTGAAGCCCTTTTGTTGTGCCAACCGGGTCATTAGTTCACGGTTTTGACTCTGCCAGGCTCCGTAGATAACGCATTGATGTCGGTCAAGTATTTTGTGTTTCAGTCGTCTGACATAATACCAATTTAATGCATGAAGCAGAACAATTTTTTTTTTCGTTTCGGAACCGGGGTCCGGAAACCTACAAAGTCTCCGCGCCTCCGCGCATTCATTAGTTCATAAGTTTTAAGGTCTCAGTATAGTTAGTTACAACGGCTGCTCCACCCTCCAAGCCGTAACGCATTACTGCTTAACGGCAGAAATAGGCAGGGTGGTGGTAGCTACCCGTGCGGACTCACAAGAGGTCCTTCCACCAGTAAAGAACCAGTAGCTTTAAGCATTTAGCACACATTAAAGAAAAAACAGTCGAAGTGACAACCTTTTTTTTGAATTCGGTTAAAAAAGCATATCCCTTCTACGGACGAGTTCCTTAACATCTTACATGTTGAGATATGAATAATAAAACTTGTTGAGTGTATTAATTATCAAGGTGCTGCGCCACAGCGAGCGATCCGCGCTCAACTGCTTCTGTCCAGTGATGACGTCATATTTTCAGCTGCGACGGACTTAAAACTACTATATTTTTACCTTAACGAGATAGGCGACGTGGCCCTTGACGAGCGAGTCCGGAGCGTGGATCCAGTTCCGGCCGTTCGGTGCCCCGTTCCCTTTGCCCTTACCCTGCCAGAAGAGCAGGGTCGACATTCTGCAAAGAAAAAAAAAGTCAAATTGAAACAAGCTTCATGTTCGGCCATGTTTACGCGGTCTCATTCCGTAAGACCATTTTAGGTTACGTTACGAATTAATTCGATTCCAAATGATTCTTGTCCACCTGATGGTTGTCTGGATGAGATCGCTCTTAGCGATAAGACCGCCAATTGTACTTTTTTTGTATTTAATGTATTGCATTGTTTATTTGTTTTTTGGTGTACAATAAAGAATACTCTCTCTCTCTCTCTCTCTCTCTCTTTCACTCACTCATTTAACTCACTCACGCATTCACTCTCACTCAGTCACTCACTCACTCACTCTCTCAAACGGAAGAAGTATTTAAATAATTATAATTTAAGATTAATGTTTTTATGTAGATTACACTTAAACCTAATAATAATACGCTCTATTAGCAGGACATAGTGATACATTTATTAATATTAAGCACCATCTTTGTTAACCTATGACCACAAATAATAATAAATAAATAAGTACTAGGAAGTACTCCAGCGATCCCCCTACTTTAATTCTGTGTCGAGCAAGGATCAGTCGGGTGAGAATGAGGGGAGTCGTTTAGTGGGTGATCCCGCTACCATACTGGCAGTTTCCACATACTAGCGCGCCCCCCCGACGCGGATCCCACTTAGGAGGCTCGGCCCCCGCGTCCCAAGAAAAAAAGTGCTAATATTTCTTCTCGACCACTACAGGTTTATGTACATTACGAGCGTCAATCAAACAAGATAACATACCTACATCTATCCGAGAAAACATTACAGGTATTTATATAATGACAAAGTTAGATCGCATTAAAACCATAGAGTAAACAAGAGTTGGGTAAAACCCACAGATAATTAATTCATTTTTGCTTGACGCTTAAATTAGCTAACATTTCTTGTAAATTGTGCTGAGAAAAAATGTAAGCGCGCGCTTATGTATTCAGTGTTTTCCTTGTATGATTATGATGGGAATTCAAAGATGCTTTAGTGAAATTTTTGCATTGAATATCCAGGAAATTTCGATTTGAAAAATACGTTAGTATTGTTATTGAGAGAATTGCTATTCATTTATATTTTTGGTGTGAAACATCTACAGCCGCACGTAAAACCGATTTCTGGCGTGGCGACGCATGCCATGGCGACGCGTCGCCATGCGCAATCGACTGTGCGATTCTCTCCCACTCGATCCGGCGTTAAGCCATCTCTCTCGCTACACTGAGCTCGGATACCTATAGTGTATACTCCATAGTGTATACAGTGTTGTTTACTACAGTACACATAACCTGTGTTTTACTTGAAAACAAATAATTTTTTCGTAATATTTTATTTTATCATTATGACATATTTAGTTCCTATCACAATCTGTTCTTTTCTGCATATTACTTTTACAAAATAATGTCGAATTTCACATTTGCCAGGCGTCCCGTGACGGCTCATTTTTTTGCCTTAAACGAGCCGCCATCGCTATGATGCCCAAGCTTGCCATTGATCAATCGCAGCCGGGCCGCCCGTGATTACTTAGAGGCAAAAAAGTTGGGTGAGAAGTCATTGGTCAAATAAAACATGATTCTGTGCTTGATAAACGTGTACAAAGCGACCTTGATCAATCGTCAATAATAGGAAATGTCTATTCAACGTTAATAAGACTTTTAGAGGGGAAAAAAATTTGTTAAAGTAAGAAAATGTAAATTCGTAAGAGACATTTTGAAATCGCTTCATGTAAATAAGTTGGGTCAATTTTTTTTTGTTCGTTCCTGACGAATTGGCAGGAAACTGTCCAAGGGCGCCTTCACTACATTCAATTTCAAATGATATCTGTGTCATTTCACTCCGTTCTAATTTCAACTTCAGTTCACATAGCAAACTATACAATTGAAATTTTGACTAAAATACCAGATTCCAGCCCTATGATAATTTAAAAAAAAATAACAAAGACAAAAGAATAAAAATACCTGCCAACCGGAACTAATGTACCTGATAGTCGTCTAGGAAGCGACAAATAGTAATAAATCGCAATCCTCCTAACAGGAACAAAAACGAATAGAGTTTTACCTACGTGTTTTCAATACTTTATGTCTCGATATGTTTTGCGCGCGTAAACGTCCGTGACCTTCGCTTTGTTTGTCAACATTGACGCGCCGTTTTATTAATTTGAATAAAAAAAGAACGTTTGTTTTTTTTTTTGGTTCGATTATCGAGGGAGCTTTAGATGTATGTGTTCTAGAGACTTCCTTATCTATCGATTGTGATTGCAGGTTTTTATTTTATTAGATACGCAGGTTATTGTCCACCTGTAGTGAATTGGTTAGTAATGTCCATTGACATGTCAATGTGAATGCCGCCTCTCATCTTGGAACTTTTGGTGGAAGTAATTGTGCAAAAAGATTAGGAAATTACTTTAAATGACTACACCCGAAATGTTGATAGTTAACGTCGGGTTGATAAAGTAAAGCCAAAAAAGAGGTATGAGCTGTTTTAGATGCGTCTTGTCAAAAGGTAACCTGGTCACGAATCATCGTATTCTATGACGCAAGTTGGTTCTGGTTCGGCGGACTACACTGAGGGCTAATATTGGCGGCGCAATCTAGGCGAGATTCGGATAGCCCGCCGAGCGGAAAACCCGGTTTTAGTGTCACTGACAACTATCGGTCGTAGCTTCCTGTGGAAGTAGATGCGATCCACACGGAACACGTCACCTTGTCACATCATCATCATTTTTTACTGGTGGTAGGATCTCTTGTGAGTCCGCACGGGTACGTACCACAACCCTGCCTATTTCTGCCGTGAAGCAGTAATGCGTTTCGCTTTGAAGGGTGGGGCAGCCGTTAGACTTATATCTCCTTAAATACCTTAGAACTTATATTTCAAGGTGGTTGGCGTATTTACGTCGTAAATGTCTATAGGCTCCAGTAACCGCTTAACATTAGTTGGGCTGTGAGCTCGTCTACCCATCTAAACAATAAAAAAAATAGTACACACCTTTATAAAAATTTTATGAAAATTAAAATGATTTCGTATATAACAACCTTATAGTATACATAAGATAACAACACTGTAGTAGCGAAAGTTATTTAACTCAAGAATAGATATTCTTTACAAGGTAATTTTTTGATGTCACTAAAAATAGTTGAACAAAATTTTCAAATAGGTACTAATCAAAAAATTATCGTCGCGCCAATCGTCGAAATGCAACTCTAATGACTGTGTTTCCCCGTTTTTTTACTTGAAAATCTTTTTGTAATGGCGGCGCTTACGTCACCACATTTGAAATAAATCAAAATTACACACAGTAGTTACGGGAAAGATTTCAATTAATATTATTTTTTTCGTTACACTAAAACAGCGGTTTTCTTTTAATTTATTTTAATTTGATGTTAATTGGAAACGGGTTTTCGTTATGTAGACAAATAACACAGTCTGACTTATAAGCAGCAGTGGATTTAAAGTGACGATATGTTACTTTATCTTGATTTATTAAAGTGAAAACTTATTTTGCACCTTTTTGCTTTGTATTACGTAATTGTAACGTAATTATGTATGTCGTTTAAAAACTAGAAAAACAAGCTTAAATAGCAAACAGAAATAACAATTTGTTTTTTCGCGCGTTTTGTATTTGAGACTTGTAATATTACATTGTTAATATTTTTTAAAATTATGCCTAAAAAATATATTAAATTAATAAATAAAACATTACACACACTACATACCATGTATTTGACGCACACACGCATGCCTACTATTTATTTATTGTCAAACTTTTGTTCTTGACGTCTGTGGTCAAATTGATAATAGATTAAATATTGTTTGTCTTTATTAATATTTTTCTATAGTGTAGTCTTGGCGAAATTTGTGATTATAGAAGTATAATAGTCTTTGAAAATAGAATCATAATAGTGTACAAACTTACAATTTCAATTCATTATAGTCGAATTTCGACTACTGCGGGACCACCGTAACTCTCAGACACAGCCCACTGAGTTTCTCGCCGGATCTTCTCAGTGGGTCGCGTTTCCGATCCGGTGGTAGATTCTGCGAAGCACGACTCTTGCTAGGGTTCGTGTTAGCATCGTTGTCAGGTTTGAGCCCCGTGAGCTCACCTACTAGTTAAGGTTCCGCTGGAATAGCCTCTGTAGGCTACCAGCAAAAAAAAAAAAAGCGGGACCACTAGTAGGTAATTATAGAAAGATAATTGTCCATACGGTGCGTTGAAAAATGACAAAGTTGCAAAACAAGTCAAATCATTTAATGCAACAAAGGTTCTGAGATCATAAACTTAATTAATACAATACAAACAAAACCTAACATCGTTCTTGATTTATTAATAGTAGTAATTAAGTCATCCGATTTTATAATAACTATTTATATTTTTGTTTTACAATTAAATATAAATTATTGATGAATTTGATACAAAATTATACCTTAGAACTTATATCTCAAGTAGGTATATAATCAAAGATCTCAAGGAACCTATCATTTACATTGTAGATGTCCATGGCTTCCGCTAACCACTTAACACCAGGTGGACTGTGAGCTCGTCCATCCATCTATGCAATAAAAAAAATAAGGCTTGGTTTTTTCTTGAAATGCAATATAATTATTATAATCATTAGAAAAATCATGAAATGATAGCATCATTATTACTATTATTAATAGCGAAAATGTCAATTTTCGATTTAATACAAAAGCGAAATTATAATTTCATTTTTACGAATATACACGTCATGTATATTCAACAAAATTTTAACAGCCCGTACGTACCTTTGCGCTAATTCATCTGTCAGCATCGCATTAGATAAAATTCAAGTTTAATTCCTATGCTAAACGTATTCAAATGCAAGAACACGTGTTGTAGTTACGTCGTTTCGTTTCTGGTCGGGAACGTTTTCCGTACTTAGTACCGGCTGACACGGCGACTGCGGGGCACACAAATGCAATGCGTTCATCCACACTGACGCGTAATAGTGACGGAGTTAGGTCGGCCTAGGGCCGTATCGATAGT